GAAGCTTTTAAAATAATCCATGTAAAATGGACAACTGAGGATTAACACTCTTAGAAGAGAAATAATTGGAGGAAAAGTTCCAAGGTACAGAAAGAACTGACGCTGAGGAAATAGACACATCACTGAGGAGAACACTGAGGAATTCCGGTTAGTGCCTTCAGTGGTGTTACAGCCACCTGCCCCACCTCCTCCGTGGAGCCACCAGGGAGCGGCGTGTCCCTCAAGATCCTTCAGCCCCCCTAGCTCCCACTCGGCCACACAAACCACCAGTAAACCAGGCACAGTAAGACACTGTTAGACATTAAGCAGCTTGGGAAGACTGCCACCCTCAATCCACATGGGAGAAAAATTAACACTACGTGTTACGTAGTGACATGCACGTATACTACATACAACAGACATATATGTATATATTCCCACGTCCCATGAAAAATCTCTAGCAAATCATCAAGGACTTGATGTGAACCCAACACAGGGGCAGCTGAGAGTGACCCAGAAGCAAGGAAGAATCAAGACCGAGAGGAGCAACCCCTCAGCCCTTTCCTCTCCCGCTGACTCCAACTGCCTCCCCTGTGGGTCCAGACACAGGACTCGGGTCTCAGTGATTGAAATATTACCATAATTATTATAAGTGTTTTTTATTGGTTTTCAATGCTTACACCAAACTTACAACTTTATGTTTATAAACCAAAAATTATTGATTAAATGGATGGTGTTTCTAAGAGACTAATTACAAAACCAACAAAAAAGCCTAACTATTACAGAATATTAACTTTGGAAAGTATTTAGAAGTTCAAGAATATCTCCCACTGGAAAACACTGTATTCAGGTGGTTTTATAAATGAAGACTTTAAAACTTCACTCTCTAAAATATTTTTCAGGCATCAGGTATGGTGGAATTACACCTGTAATTCCAGCACTTTGGGAGGCCAAGGCAGGAGAATCACTTGAGCCCAGAAATTCGAGACCAGCCTGGGCAACACAGTAAAACCTCATCGCTACAAAATATTAAAAATTAGGCCAGGCATAATGGCTCACACTTGTAATACACCAGCGCTTCAGAAGGCCAAGGCAGGAGGATCACTTGAGCTCAGGAGTTTAAAACCAAACTGGGCGACATGGAAAAACCTCATCTGTACCAAAATACAAAAATTAGCCTAGTGTGGTGGTGCACACCCATAGTCCCAGCTACTCGAGATGCTGAGAGGTGGGAGGATCACCTGAGCCCGGGAGGTGGAGGCTGCAGTCAGCCATGATCATGCCACTGCACTTGCCACAAAAACTAGTAATACAATAAAATAAAAAATGATTGAACACAAGACTGAATGCTTCATAATTTTTCCTAAAACTCTACCACAACTCGGACACCAAAATATCCCAAAGATAACACACAACTGTTAAAACTGACAGGGCACAGTGGCTCACGCCTGTAATTCCAGAACTTTGGGAGGCCAAGGCAGGCTGATCACAAGGGTCAGGAGTTCGAGACCAGCCTGACCAACATGGTGAAACCCCATCTCTACTAAAAATACAAAAATTCGCTGGGTGTGGTGGCAGGTGCCTGTAGTCCCAGCTACTCAGGAGGCTGAGGCAGGAGAATCACTTGAACCTGGGAGGCGGTGGTTGCAGTGAGCCAAGATCGCGCCAATGCAGTCTAGCCTGGCAATAGAGCAAGACTCCATCTCAAGAAAAAAAAAGTTAAAATAGCAGTTTGTCTACAGACTACTACACATTTAGGATTATGGATTTAAAAAAAAAAACTAAAAAAATCATGCGTACAATAGGCTCAACTGTGCAGTTAGAGAATGAAATGCCATAGCTAGCTAAGCATGTTTTATTCTGGGAATGCATATATAATTCCTATTACTATACACCCATATATAGCATATATAGTAATAGGAACAATAAAAAATAGCCAAAGACAAAAATTACAATCCTTGATACATGCAATAACCATATCACAACATTAATTTCTCATTAAAAATCTTGGCTTATTTTGTTTTATTTATTTATTTGAGACGGAGTCTCACTCTGTCGCACAGGCTAGAGTGCAGTGGCGCAACCTTGGCTCGCTACACCCTCTGCCGCAGGGGTTCAGGCCATTCTCCTGCCTCAGTCTCCAGAGTAGGGGGATTACAGGCGCCTGCCACCGCACCCGGCTCATTTTTGTAGTTTTTAGTAGAGACGGGGTTTTGCCATCTTGGCCAGGCTGGTCTTGAACTCCTGACCTGTGATCCACTTGCCTAGGCCTCCCAAAGTGCTGGGATTACAGGTGTGAGCCACTGTGCTCAGCCTATTTACTTATTTATTCACTTAGATAAAAGGTCTGGCTCTGACGCCCAGGCTGGAGTACACTGGCGCAATCATGGTTCACTGCAGTCTCGACCTCCCACCGTCAAGCATCTCCTGCCTCAGCCTCCTGAGTAGCTAGGACACAGGCCCACACCACCACGTCCAGCTAATTTTTGTGTTTTTTTGTAGAGACAGGGTTTTGCCGTGTCGTCCAGGCTGGACTCAAGCAATCTGCCCTACCCGCCTCTGCCTCCCGAAGTGCTGGGATTACAGGCATGAGCCACCACGCCCAGCCATCTTAGACTTTTTCTTTTCTTTTTTTTTTTTGAGACCGGAGTTTCCCTCTTATTACCCAGGCTGGAGTGCAATGGCGCAATCTCCGCTCACTGCAACCTCCACCTCCTGAGTTCAGGCAATTCTCCTGCCTCAGCCTCCTGAGTACCTGGGATTACAGGCACGTGCCACCATGCCCAGCTAATTTTTTGTATTTATTTTTTTTTTAGTAGAGACGGGGTTTCACCATGTTGACCAGGATGGTCTCGCTCTCTTGACCTCATGATCCACCCGCCTCAGCCTCCCAAAGTGCTGGGATTACAGGCGTAAGCCACCACGCCCAACCCATCTTAGACTTTTAGACTAATCAAAATCATTTTTTAATGTTTAAAAAAATCAAATTAACATTCAATTCTAACGGAACAAGTCTAGAATATGCTTTAAAATAAAAAAGTAAGACAAGTATAATAATTAGGGAAGGAGACTTTCACTTTTTGTAGCAGACCTACTTCTTGTACTGTCTGAATTTATTTTATCATGAGCCCACTTTTTCTTCTGCCTTTTAGACAGAGGGTCGCTCTGCCATCCAGGCTGGGGTGCAGTGGCACAATCACAGCTCACTGCAGCTTCGACCTCCCCAGGCTCAAGCAATCCTCCCATTTCAGCCTCCCAAGCAGCAAGTACACTTACTTACAATTACTTTTTACTTATTTATTTTGAGACAGAGTTTCGCTCCTGTTGCCCAGGCTGGAATGCAATGGCGTGATCTCATTGCAACTTCCGCCTCCTGGGTTCAAGCAATTCTCCTGACTCAGCCTCCCGAGTAGCTGGGACTACAGGTGCGTGCCACCACACATGGCTAATTTTTAGTAGAGATGAGGTTTCTCTATGTTGGTCAGGCTGCCTTGGCCTCCGAAAGTTCCGGGATTACAGGCGTGAGACACCATGCCCAGTCAATTACTTTCTATTTTTAGACACACAGTCTCACTCTGTCACCCAGGCTGGAGTGCAGCTCCTGATCTTGACTTATTGCAAACTCCACCTCCTGGGCTCAAGCAATCCTCCCACCTCAGCCTCCTAAGTAGCTGAGACTACAGGTGAGCACAACCACGTCCAGCTAATTTTTCTATTTTTTTGTAGAGAGGGGGCCTCACTATGTTGCCCAGGGTGGTCTTGAACTCAAGCGATTCGCCCACCTGAGCCTCCCAAAATACTGGAATTACAAGCTATCTTTTATTCTGGTAAAATACATATAACATACGTAACATAAAATGTACAATTGTAGCCATTTTTGAGATTGACTAAGAAAAAAAGCGGCAACTCAAATTGCTAGGACAGAAATAAAAGAAGGGACATTACTACTGACAGGAACAGAAATAAGGAAGATGACTGGCCAGGCGTGGTGGCTCACACCTGTAATCCCAACACTTTGGGAGGCCGAGACGGGTGGACTGCCTGAGGTCAGGAGTTCGAGACCAGCCTGGCCAGCATGGTGAAACCCCATCTCTACTAAAAATAGAAAAATTAGTTGGGCATGATGGCAGTGCCTGTAATCCCAGCTACTCGGGAGACTGAAGCGGCAGAACTGCTTGAACCTCAGAGGCAGAAGCTGCTGTGAGCTGACATCGAGCCACTATACTCCAGCCTGGGCAACAAGAACAAAAATTCCATCTCAAAAAACAAAAATAGTTAAAGAGGAAACTTTTATTTTATATATTTTTACTCCAATTAAAAAGAAAACTAAACAACTCGTACTCTGAAAACTATAAAACTTTTTAAATTTTAATTTAATTATTTATTTTTGAGATGGAGTCTCTCTCTGTCTCCAGACTGGAGTGCAGTGGCGTGATCTCTGCTCACTGCAACCTCCGCCTCCCAGGTTCAAGCGATTCTCCTGCCTCAGCCTCCCAAGTAGCTGGTACTACAGGTGTGCACCACCACGCCCAGATAATTTTTGTATTTTAAGTCGAGACGAAGTTTCACCATGTTGGCCAGGATTGTCTCGATCTCCTGACCTTGTGATCCGCCTGCCTTTGCTTCCCGAAGTGCTGGGATTACAGGTTTGAGCCATGGCACCCGGCCAAGAACAGACATATACATTAATGGAATACAACTGAGAGTCTAGAAAGAAACTCATACATTTACAGTCAACTGATTTGGACAAGGATTTCAAGAGCATTCGATGGGGGAAAGAATAACATCATTGGAACAACTGGATATCTACATGCAAAAAAGAATGAATATAACCCCCTACCTCGTATCAAAAATTAACTCAAAATTGATCAAAGAACTAAATTAAATGTTACAACTAAAAAACTCTGAGAAGAAAACACAGGTAGAAAACTTTGTGACCTTGCATTTGCTAGATATGACACCATAGCAACAACAACAACTAGTTGAATTTGTTTCCCTGCGCAGAAGGGCCCTGGGCAGCCATGACGCCCAGCCGGAATGGCATGGAAGCCCCACTTCCACAAGGTCTGGCAGCTGGCGCACGGCCACATGGTCGAACCAGCCAGCCCAGAAGATCCGCAGGTGCAAGGCCCAGTAAGCCAAAGCGTCCCCCGCATTGCCCTGTGCCCTGCGTCGTTTCCCATCCGGCCCATCATGCAGCACAGTCCGTATCACACCAAGGTGTGCGCCGGCCGTGGCTGCAGCCTGGAGGAACTCAGTGGCTGGCATTCACAAGAAGGTGGCCTGGACCACTGGGATCTCTGTGGACCCAAGGAGGGGTAATGAGTCCACGGAGCGAGTCCCTGCAGGCCAAGGTGAAGCGGCTGAAGGAGTACCACTTCAAACTCATCCTCTTCCCCAGGAAGCCCTCGGCCCCCAAGAAGGGAGACAGTTCTGCTAAAGAACTGAAACCGGCCACCCAGCTGACAGAGCCAGTCATGCCCCTCCCGAATGTCTATAAGAAGGAGAAAGCCCGAGTCATCGCTGAGGAGAATTTCAAAGCCTTCGCTAGTCTCCACGTGGCCTGTGCCAACACCCGGCTTGTCGGCATACGGGCAAAAAGAGCCAGGGAAGGTGAAGAACGAGATGTTGAAAAGAAAAAATAAAGCCCTCTTGGGGACTTGTAATAAATCAACTTTAAAAAAAAAAGTTAAATTAGACTTTATCAAAACTAAGAACATCTGTGCTTCAAAGGATACCATTAAGACAGTGAAATGACAACCCACAAAATGGGAGAAAATACTTGCAAATCATAGTCCAATATGGGGCTTCTATCCAGAATATACGAAGAACTCTTAAATTCAACAAAAAGACAACACAATTTTTTAAATGGGTAAATAACTTGAATGGACACTTCTCCGAAGAAGACATACAAATGGCAAACGAGCACACGAAAAGATGCTCAGCAACACTCACCATGAGGGAAAAGCAAATCCAAACCACAATGAGAAACGACCTCGTACCACTACAATAGCTAAACTTTAAAGAACGGAAAATGACAAGTGTTGGCAAGGATGCGGAGAGAGTGGAAACCCTGCGGGCTGCTGGTGGGGATGCAGATGCAGGCCACTACAGCAAACAACCTGGCAGTTCCTTGGGATGCTCCACATGGAGCCTTGACATGACCTAGCAATTCTACTCTAAGGTATGTACTCCAGGGAAATGAAAACATATATCCCACAAAAACTTGTATATTAATGTTCAGAGCATCATTATTAAAAATAAACAAAAGGTACTTTGGGAGGCCCAGGTGAGCGGATCACCTGAGGTTAGGAGTTCGAGACCAGCCTGGCCAACATGGTTTTCATCTTTACTAAAAATACAAAACTTAGGCGTGGTGGCTCAGGCCTGTAATCCCAGCTACTCAGGAGACTGAGGCAGGAGAATTGCTTGAACCCAAGAGGCAGAGGTTGCAGTGAGCCAAGCTGGTGCCACTGCACTCCAGCCTGGGTGACAGAGCAAGAATCCATCTCAAAAAAAAAAAAAAAAAAAAAAAAAACACATACACACACACAAAATTAATAAATATATTTCGCCATAAAAAGGAATGATGCACTATATATGCTACAATATGGGACAAACCTTGAACAACATACATGTCAGTCACAAAAGACCCATATTATACGATGGGTCTTCACTTACAGAAAATATCAGAATAGGCAGATATATAATGAAAGTAGATTTGTGGCTGCTCAGGGCTGGGGTGAGGGTACAGCTGGAGGGTTCCTTTGGAGGTGAAGAAATGTTCTGATAAGATAGTGGAGATGGTTGCACAACTTGAATATACTAAAGTACACTGACACTCAACTGTACGCTTTAAACAGGGAAATTATGCATGAGTCGAATCTCGATAAAGCTGTTACAAAAAAATTTTTAAAAACAGGAAAAAGGAAATATTATCTGGTAATTGTAAATAGCAGAGAACCCTTTCTTTTTCACCAAAAAAAAAAAAAAAAAAAAGTGGGAGGCGGAGGTTGAAGTGAGCCAAGATCGCACCACTGCACTCCAGCCTGGGCAACAGAGTGAGACTCCACCTCAAAAAATAATAAAAAAGTAAAAAATAAAAATAAAATCAGCGGTATAATTCAACTTAAATTTCTCTCTTATTGCTGACAGACATCCAGTTCCCGTTTAAAAACCCTCCTGTTATGTCACAAGTATTATTGAAACTTCATAAACACAAATCTTGCTTTTTAAAAAAATATCTAAATATTTGTAGAAGGAAATATATTCAGGCTTATCATTTCAGTTACATAAAACCATGTCAATGTCTGATGTTTTGAGAAACATTTCTTGTTCTGATATAGTATAATATAAATGCATACCTGACACTTATTAACCGGTAAAACTGGACATAGAGCATTTCCAATAACTTCTCCATTTGCTCCTAGTCTGACAGTATTTCCCACATATCTGAAAACAGTTTCATTTTGAAGGTACATCAGAAAGCTGTTCTGTTAATAAACAAAGACTTTTCAACAATTTGATTTCAAATACTTTGGGTTAGAAAACAAACATCTGGGCCGGGCACAGTGGCTCACACCTGTATTCCCAGCACTTTGGGAGGCCCAGGCAGGTGGATCACCTGAGGTTAGGAGTTTGAGACCAGCCTAAGACCACGGTGAAACTCCACCTCTACTAAAAATATAAAATTAGCCAGGTGTAGTGGCACATGCCTGTAATCCCAGCTACTTGGGAGGCTGAGGCAGGAGAATCACTTGAACTCGAGAGGCAGAGGTTGCAGTGAGCCGAGATCGCGCCACGGCCCTCCAGTCTAGGCAACAGAGCAAGAGGCCGTGGTGGCTCATGCCTGTAATCCCAGTACTTTGGGAGGATGATGCAGGAGGATCCCTTGGGCTCAGGAGCTTGAGACCAGCCTGGCCAAAAAAGGGAGACCCTGTCTCTAAAATACGTAAATAAATAAAAGTTGAAAAATAAATTCAGCTCACTGATAAAATTTTTTTTAAACAAAATGGTAGACTGAATTATTTTAACTCAATTTTTTCACGCCAACAAGGGTGAGGTACAACAGAGCAGGAGCCCTGAAATGCTCTTCTGGGTGCTGTGGTGCAGGAGGTGTGTTCACCTTCGCATCGCACTACATTCTTCATGTTTTCAGAGAATGATGAGAGGCAAGAATATTTCTTATTCCGCTCTGGTTGATTTTTAATGGATGATTTCCTACGTAACAAAAGCGTTGGAGTTATGACATTCCCAGAAAGATGACGTTTCTACAGGCAATTCCTGAGTCACAAATGTCCAGTTGTGAACATCCCCACATCACATGGACTCCACAGGGACCCCCGCACCCTCCGCACCCTCCCAGCCACCAGAGCAGGTGCTGTCCAGCCACCCTTTCCCACTTCCAGCACTCCCTTCAAGCACTCCCCACGTCTTCACATTCCTGTGAGCCCTTTCTCCTCTCTCTCCTCCAATGCTCATGCAGTACGAGAGAAAAACCTGCTCTCCCCTCGTCCCCTTTCTTCCTTCTACTCACGGGGGAATCTTTCAAGTAAGTGTAAGAATACAAACAGCAACATATCCAAATCAAAACAAAGAGGAACTACGCTCTGACTCCATGCAGAGATGAGAGCTCGGGTGCCTCTCAAACCTGGAAACCACAGCGGACATAATGACACCACCAGAGTCCCAACGACAACCCGAGCTCCAGGACGAGATTTTTTTCTTCACCACTGTGGCACCTAGCACATCTTAAGTCTTCAAAAAACATTTAAGTGAATGCCAAGGAATGGCAGCAGACGAGAAACGGCAACAAGATTTTGCGCAGTGGGAAAAGCAAATGGACGGGTGGTATCTAATCCAGCAAAGCCAGAAACCAAAACTGAACTGCGCAGCGTGGGCAAAAGGCTGGGGAATTAGAAGAGGCGTTCGTCTCTCGGAGGGCCCGAGGGTAATGGGCAGAAAAGAGGACCCACTTCAAGTCTATGGGAGAAGCGGTCAGATCCTCCCCTACCAGCCCTCCTCCACCTCAGCCACCTTCCCAGAAACTGACAGCTATGCCCCCAATCCCCACACCCCAAGCAGAAGACTGGAAACTGCTCTCTGGGGAGACTGACAGCCCCAAAATAAAGAATTGTATGACCAACTTTAGTGCCCCTCAAATTGGCAGGCTCCATACTCTATTTCCTCATGGTGAGACTCTACACTTAAAGTTCACCCATGGGTGAACATACAGGGCATTTCCAACAGGCCCACTCATAATCATGGAAGGACAGCCAGTAATCATCCGATTTTCAGAGAGAAGCCTCCAACACAAAGAATGACCAAAGTAGGAAACAGGTGAAAATGCGCGGGAGGCAGAGGAAAGAAAATGTCTATACAACAAACGTGTGCATGAATCACTAAAACATTAAACAAAGAGTAATGTGTAAACGTATTGCCAGGCCGGGCACGGTGGCTCACGCCTGTAATCCAAGCACTTTGGGAGGCTGAGGCGGGCGGATCACAACGTCAGGAGTTGAAAACCAGCCTGACCAATGTGGTGGAACCCCATCTCTACTAAAAATACAAAAATTAGCTAGGTGTGGTGGCACACACCTGTAGTCCCAGCTACTGGGGAGGCTGAGGCAGGAGAATCACTTGAACCCAGGAGGCGGAGGTTGCAGTCAGCCGAGTAAGATTTCATCTCAAAACAAAACAAAAAAAAGTATCTGCCTTCATGAACAGAAGGTGTTAAAAACAGAAATACTGAGAAGAAGAACACTCTTTTTTTGAAACAGTCTCTGTCACTCAGGGTGGAGTGCAGTGCTATAATCTCAGCAACCTCCGCCTCCCGGGTTCAAGGGATTCTCCTGCCTCAGCCACCAGAGTAGCTGGGATTACAGGCACCTGCCACCATGCTCAGTTAATTTTTGTATTTTTAGTAGAGATGGGGTTTCTCCATGTTGGTCAGGCTGATCTCAAACTCCTCACTTCAGGTGATCCACCTGCCTTGGCCTCCCAAAGTGCTGGGATTACAGGCGTGAGCCACCACAAACCCAGTCAAGAATAATTAAAAAGGAAAGATACAACGTCAGAAATAAAAATTCAATGTAAAAACTAAAGGATAAAGTTGATATCCTCCCCATAAAAAATCAGAACAAGGCTGAGCACAGTGGTCCACACCTGTAATTCCAGCATTTTGGGAAGCTGAGGTAGGCAGATTACATGAGGCAGGAGTTCAAGACCAGCCTGGCCAACATGGTAAAACCCCATCTCTACTAAAAATACAAACACTAGCCAGGCATGGTGGTACATACCCGTAATCCTAGCTACTAGAGAAGCTGAGACACAAGAAACGCTTGAACGTGGGAGGCGGAGGTTCAAGCTCAGATTGCACCACCACACTCCAGCCTGGGCGACAGACTAAGACTCTGTCTCAAAAAAAAAAAAGAAAAAAAAGAGGTCAGGAGCGGTGGCTCATGCCTTTAACCCCAGCACTTTGGGAGGCCAAGGCAGGCGGATCATCTGAGGTTGGGAGTTCGGGACCAGCCTGGCCAACATGGTGAAACCCCATCTCCACTAAGAATACAGAAATGAGTCTGGCGTGGTGGCACATGCCTGTAATCCCAGCTACTCAGGAGGCTGAGGCAGGAGAATTGCTTGAACCTGGGAGGCAGAGGTTGCAGTGAGC